TATATAGCATTGTATACAATCGATTATTTGCCTAGAGAAAAACTACAGGTATTTTAGTATTGATATTATGCACATTTATATTTTATGAGAAATACATGTATGAGCCACAAGCAAAACAGTCACAGAAGGGAATAAAAATGTGTTCTTAACATGACAAGGAATAGAGACATTGCCTTTAAAGTAGCAAACTATACGAAATCAAGCCAATCAGATAAGGATTCAGGGAGTTTCCTATAAGAATACTTTGGTGAAAAATATTCTTTATTTAGGTCCTTGGTGATAATATCTTAACTCTTTGCAGTAAGATATTTCCAAGTCCTGACCTTTAGGGAAAATTAAATAAACAAATGCATAAATATCAGAATTTAAAGAGAATAATGAAGAGACATAATGAGGCAAATATAATATAATCTCTTAAAGTGCCAGTGTGGCCTGCCATAGTAGTATACTAACATGTTTATAATCCTGCTGACCAGGGGGAGGAAAACCCTGGATTATAGCATTTGCTGGTGATTGCTGTGGTATAAGCATTCTCACCTTGGCTGCTTTCTAGCTATTAGTATTTGACAACTGGCTCTCCAAAATTTCTGAAAATTTAGCCATTAGCTTTTGTGAACTGTTTTGAATTGATATGAGTAGCAAAAGGTAAAGTGCCCTAGATAAAAGAGGGGGGGAAAAAAAACTCCTTGTATTTGTAGTGAATATACAAGGAAAATATTTCACGAAACCTGAATTTATTTATTTATTTAAGTCAGGGAGATCATTTTTGAATAAGGTTAATAGTTATCATTGATGTTGGAGTGTTATTTTTGTTTGTTTATTTTCCCCCAATACGAGGGTTTAAACCTAGAGCTTCATGCATGCTAGATAAGTACTATACCAGGAGCCACATTCCCATCCCTTTTATTATTCAGACAGGGTCTTGCTAAGGTGCCCAGGCTGACTTTGAACTTGAAATCCTCCTATGCCAATAGCTTATATTACAGGTGTGTGCCATCACACCCTGCCTGGAGTGATGTTTTTCCTAAGGTTATTATCTAATTTTCTCATTAATGAGGAAATTACTTAGAACTCATTAAGTTACAACATATATTTTTGTGTTTAAATTCTAATGATACTTTTTTAATTTGTACTTTTCTGGGACATATTCTGCCTAGACATTATTTCCTTACTAAACTGAATACTATTCCATGTTGGGGTTGAGGCAGAATGTTAGAATAGGGGAAGATTTAAACCAAAGAGAATGGGAAACTTTCAAAAGAAAAGGAAATGTGCTTAAATATATATAACATTTCCCGTATCAGATGTACCTAGAGATACTAAGAATTCTCTGCCAAGATATTACTCATGAGTCATATTTCTGGTTGCCAGTCTGGTTACACCCTTGGTGAAAGATACAGAAAATAAACATAGGTTTTATATTTAAAAAAAATATTTTAGTTGTTTTAGGGAAGAGCAAATAGTCTTTCCTAAGAATCACTGGAAAATAAAACCACCATTCCTTTTAACTAATTTTTATTTCTTGAAGTCAAAGAGTCAGCTTCCATATAATAAGAAGAGAACTGGACTTGGAGTTTCATATCTTAAATTCAAATTTTAGCTAATGGTAGTTATTGGATCTTTTGGACAAGTTTCTTTAACCTCTCTGAGTTTGTTTATTCATCTATACAGTAGGTATTATGCTATTTTATACTTGGAAAAAACGAATCAATTTCATTCAAAACAATTAGCATCATACATGGCAGTGGACCTTAATTCTGTATTTTGTAGATGAAAACTGACTCAGAGGCAGGAAACAGGAGTTCCTCAACTGTTAGCTCCAGCCCTAGCTACTAATTGTTGATGCTGTCCCTTTAGACTCTTAAAATGATTCAAGGGCAGAATGGCTGGTGTTTTTACTTGGAAAGATAAACCAATGGGTGGAGAAGTTTGTGTGTGAATAATTTATGTGTGCTGAGAACAAAGCTAAAAACCAAACCAAAACAACAACAAAAAACCCTGACTGGCTGGAATGATCTGAGGATCAGCCAGTGAAGTCTATTTGTTTTCTTCTGTTGTTGAAAATCTTGTAAAAAGATTCCTGACACTTCTTTCCTCCCTGTAGCCAGAGGTTTCCTTGCTGTACTTTTCCCTAGTCTTTCTTGTGTTTCTCTGGTATAATGTGCACAGCCTCTATCAACCTTCATTATCTTTGCTGCTACCCAGACTTTAGACTCCATGAGCTTAGGTGTCATGTCTGTTTTAAGTGAGTTGTCATTTCCTGGCAAATGGTAAATGCCACATGTGCTGTTGTTGATTTTCACCACTCTACTTCATGGACTACCTAGCAGTATCTATAATCTTATAAATTACTCATGTTTCAGAATATTATAAATGTAAAAGTCGCTATCTGAGATACAGTTCTTAACTGTATAGCCACAGAGAGCATGGAAAATTGTGCCAAAGTTGTAATGACTCCAGAATACTAATAGAAAGTTGCTGTCTTTTTGTTAAAGCCAAATCTAGGTAATTGAATACTCTAGAGATATCTTGATGTTCCCAAAGTGACATTTTTGTTGTTGTTGGAGATTATGGGTAGGTTTGTCTGAGGATTAGAAGAAATCTTATTTATCTTGTCATTAAAAATTAGAGTTTGTTTTGATGTTATAAAAAACTCTGCTTTGTTTCCTCTTTTCTCTCTCATGCCAGAGATCTTTCTGGAGCTGAGGGAAGTTGACTTGTCTGGCCTTTCCCTCTCTGGGATCTATTGGCCATATTCTATTCCCTGAAGGATTATGATACTTGCCAAGTTATCATCACTGGCTAAGAGAGTCATTTCCTCCTCCCCGAGAGGACAGAGAAGTCTGTCTGGAATTTATTTTTGTTTGTGCCACTCTTAACGGTCACAAACATTCAAAACAAAATAAAACAACAACAAAAAATTTTCAGCTAAGTGTTTCTACCAGTGTAATTTTTTTGTTTTGTTACTTGCTGAGTTGCTACATAATATTTCTTTTAAGGGCATTTTTAATGTCAAAGAATGAAAAGCAATAAAAATTAGAAATAACTGAGAATCATTTTAGTAAAAAATACATATATCTGATTTAAGTTGGTGCAATTGGGACTAATTTAAGAAATAAATTGGTTGGTATTTAAATATTTAATTTTAGTTGTCTAGTGCAAATATATTCTTAGATAACACAATGGTTAACTAAATTCAGAAGTATTGCATATGTTTATTTCCTTTAAAAAGCTATACTTTTGGCCTGGTGCAGTGGCAAACCCTTTTAATCTCAGTGGTGTAGGAGGCTGAGGCAGGAGGATTGCAAGTTCAAAGCCAGCCTCAGCAATTTAGTGAGAGACAACTTAGTGAGAGACCCTGTCTCAAAATAAAAAATAAAAGGGGCTGGGGATGTGGCTCAATGGTGTACCTTTTGATTCAATCTCTGGTAACAAAAACAAACAAACAAAAAGCTATTTAATGAATGGTTGGCATAATATGTCATTGTGTCTAATATGTGTGTTCTTATGAAATGTTTTTTAACATGTGTTTTTATTTCTCAAAATGATATTATAATATATATTACCATGACAATATATATTCCACCTTGTTTCTTACTTCCTTTCACTCATCGATATATTTTTAAGGTGTATCCATCATAAATAGAGGTGAAATGCGTAATTTCAAATAACTATCCATGATTATGTTATCAATTCTATTTTTTCTGTTCCCTTTCTCTGTGATGAACCCTCTTAAGTCCCAAGCACCACAAATAACAGCATAGTGAACATCTTATGTGGTGTGGTGTGGTGTGGTATGGTATGGTATGGTATGGTATGGTATGATTAGATTAGGTTATCTAACACCCAATATAGTAAACAGGTTCCTTACCTTGAAAAAGTTTCCTTGGGATACAGACCTAGCAGTAGAATACAAGATTCTGAACAATGTAAGGGTAGGGTGCCTTTTAGATCCTTTACCAGTTGTTTTCCCATCTGACATATATGTGGTTCCTGTTCCGATGTCTAAGAATTTGGAATTTTCCAGCTTTCTGATTGTTGCTAATCTAATAGGTATTAAAATAGTAGCTTTTCCTTATTTTGATCTGCATTTCTCTAATTACCAATTCAATTAAAACATCTCTTGATGTCTTACATTGTCTGCCTTTTGCCCCCCTCAGGATTGCTATATTTTTCTTGTAGATTTGGGAATTCTGTGTAAATTGTAATTTCTATGTTGTCCGTTTTAAATGTTTCAAGTATCTTCTTCCATTGTGTTTCCTCTTTTTAGTTGGTTCATTGTTCTTTCCTGAGCCAGGATATTTAATTTTGGTGCAATTATATTCATCAGTTAATTTTTGTGTAATTTTGAATTTATGTATTAGAAAGTCTTACTTAATTCATAAAGATATCTGTATATGTTTCTTCTATTAACTGTATAGTGTACCTCTCATATTTGGTTTTTAATCTGTCTTGAGTTTCCTTTTGTAAGTGGCTTTGGGCAGGAGGCAAGTTTAATTTTATTCTAAAATTAGTGAGTTTCTCTATAACATTATCTTCTGTTCTCATGTTAGATTCTCAGTACATATGTGGGTCTGTTTCTAAATGCTTATGGCTATACCTTGGTCTCTTTGTTTTTCTATCAATCTTCCACTGGTCTTATTACCACGTTTTGTAGAGGATTATTTTCAAAGTCTAAAAAACTGTGTAAACTGTGATTACCTAACACAGTTCAAGTTTCATGATCACTGTTCCTTCTTATCTTCCTTCAAGTACATATATAATTGTGTTTAGTACTTTAACAAGTAATCACTATTGTCCTTGAAACATATATTGAAATTCTTGATCCATTTTTTAAAATGTAATTATATATTCTTCAAATATAATTATATTAAATTCTTAACCACTTGCCTTAAATATTACAGATGGTTCCCACCTTATGATGGTTCAATTTACTATTTACAGTGGTGCTAATGAGGTACATATTCAGTAGAGTCTGTACTTTAAATTTTTAATTTTAATCTTTTCTGAAACCAGCTGTGTGTGGTATGATACCTTCTCTGGATTCTGGGCAGCAGCAGGGACCCACAGCTCCCAGACAGCCACATGATCTTGAGGAGAAACACTGATACTCTACAGTGTACCATGTTGCTGAGCTGTGATGTGTTGTAGGTTAGTATATTCTATGAGTTTCCCATTTATGAATTTTTTATTTATGAGTTTTTTAGGATATAACCTTATCATAAGTTGAGAAGCATCTATAATGAGATGTGATTGCTTCCTGAGGTCCGTTTTTTCCATTATGTTTAAATATGAAGTTCTTCTTTTCAGGAGAAATCTGGATTAAAATTAAATGAGAAGTTACTTTGCCTGAAGTCTGAGGGCATACTAAGTGTCTATACTTAATCTAGAAGTATATTAAATGATTGGAAATTTTTTTAATCAAAAGTGGAAGGCAAGTAAGAATGTCTCTAAAAAATCTGGGTAAATGCTAAGTTTCATTTTAGGAATAGGATATTTCTAAAAAATAGTTTAAATACCATATTTCAAGTAATCAAAGCTGGTGTAGCTCTCCATATTTTGAGTGACATTCAGTGTCTGTTCTATTGAGGAAAATAAATGTATACATAAACCAAACTCAAACTAAAATGCTTGGAATGATGTAGTTTTGATCTAGCATGAATCTGTTTTGTATAATTTTGAAAAGAAATTAAGCTAGCTAGCTAGTTGATTGATGTCTTTGTAAGCTTCTGTTTCCTACCTGGAAAATTTTGCTCAACCCAAATTGTAGTTTTTGTTGATCCCAAATTATAATTTTAAGATATAATTTTGAGATACCACAAACACACATGCATATTTTATTTTGATCATTAACTAGGATGTTATATATGCTTTCTAGGAAACGTTAAATAGCATAATGAAACTTAATTTATATCCTTTATATGGACAAATTTATTTCTGTGTAAGCCATTGGATTCAAAAGCCTGGACATTTGATATACAATTGATAGATGATGTATTTGATTTTAACTTTTAAATGCTAAACCTGCTAACAGGTATTTAATTTGGTTTCTCTTGTATAGCCTTTGCCCTTTGCCACAGCTCTAATGGAACTGTTAGGTGGAAAGTGTGAAAGGGAATAGCAGCATGAGAATAACACAGGAATGTTTGACCTCCAATTCTGAAATAAAAGACAGTTATTCGTTCCTACAAATAATGACAGACTTATTATGGAATGCTTAAAGAGTAAATAAACCCTGGAAGTAGTTAAGTGACAACCATTAGGGGGTCTTTGCTTTATTTACTCAAGATAGTATTTATTACATGGCATTCCTTCTAAGAAGAGGATGAGATGTCTATGGGGAAAATATGGTAAACTGATTTGCACTATGCAATTTACTTACTTTAGTATCTTATTTTCCCAGAAGTTAGAGAAGCAATATATTTTAAATATTGCAGTATTTCAGATGGATTTATAAAACACTAAATAGCTAAATGATAAGAATAGCATTTCTCCTCTCTGTCTACCCCAAAGGCATTTTTAAAAATAACCTACATGTGATCAACAGTGAAATGATGTAATTAGGACATGGCTATTTGTGGTAATCATTCTTGTCGTGTTTTGGTGTGGTGGAAGGGTAGATATATGTAGTTTTCTATTATTTTCTCCTCTCCATCTACCCTTCTGCTCTCCAGATCTTTTCCCTCAACTCTCTTAGTGATAGAGTGTCCTCTCCAACCACGAGAACATATATACATTTGTCTAATACCAAATGCAAAAATTCTGAGGGAAACAATAATTCTCTGATTAGTAAAGGGCATAAATTTAGCAACAAGTAATTTTTGCATCTTTGTTATTCATATTTGTATCACCATTTTTTTAAAATAGTTTAAGAATTTTATGTTTCTTGATCTTTCTTGTTCATATACCCAATTAAGTAAATGAATGATAGATTACATATATATATATATATACATATTCTACACACACACACACACACACACACACACACACACACACAGTAACTGGGGTAGAGCCTTTGCAGATAAGAAGTTTGTTGTCAGCAGGAAGATTCCCTGCCTCACTCTTTCCATCCAGCTATAGATTAGACACTATGTATCTTCAGTGTATTGGGTACAATGACAGACACTAAAAAGTTGAGTCTAATAAAACACAGGTCACTAACCTGACAGTAAATTTATCTTCAAAGAAAAGTGGTAGAGTTCCTTGTTCACTGGAGGTAACTTCCATAAATTCCAAAATGCTTTTGCTACACCTGTGATGGGTTGAGAAATAGCCTCAAATGGGATCATGCTACATATTGGCTATTGATTGTTAGTACAACCCTGGTGGAAAGGCTTGAGGTGGCCACCAAGTGTGTGCTGAGAGGGAGTATATGTGAATCTAGGATGTGTGGATGTGAGATGATGGAACAGACATGCACACAGGGTATGTGCACAGAGCTGTTAGAAAGAATGAATTCAAATCTCATTTTTTCTACTTATTAACAATTAGGGTAGTCACCTCTCATTTCAGAACCATCTTTACTGGGGAAATGTTGCTAAGGTTGTATGAGATGTGTTTTTTTCATGTGCTTCACAGTTACAGACCTACTGTACAAATGCATATACATTAAAACAGAAACAAATAAACTGGTCTTAATCATCATTTTTACTCGATGACCTTGGAGACCATATTTTAGTTAGAGGCCAATTAGATTTTCATGGGGAAAAAAAAATGACACTTGGATTCAGTCCTCAAAATAAAAGGGATATATTATTTGACAGGCTGAGAAAGAAACTTGGTGAATTGAAGAGTATTTGCCTTAGGTAAAGCTCTCCGCCTTGCAAAGGGTTTTCAGAAATAACTGTCCTTTCTTATTCATTTATCTTTATGTTTTAGATGAAGCAAGGAATGTACTTTTTTCTTATTTTTTAAAATTAAAAAAAAAGTTCACAGGAGGTAATTTGCTACCAAAAAAATACAAATGATTTCCGTGATCCCATGCAATCTGAGTGAAGAGAATATTACACAGACTGAAATAGAAACATGGATTAAAATAAAATGTAAATATAATATTTAGCAATTGATATATGTGTGTGGTAAAAATTTGCTTAGGTTTGCAAATAGTAAAATCTGATTTATTTTATGAAAACATGGACTTTGACAAGGCAATTGAAAAAATCAATTGTGTGTATATGTAACAATTTATGAAATATAGAATGACCTGTTATGAAACTTTAAGAAGTAGAATATTATCAATACCATAAAACTTCCTTGTATATTTCCTCTCCATCTTGTTCCCTGCTTCCTTCTGGAAGTGACCTAGAATTTTCTGTTCAGTGGTATATGTATATGCAAAATGAAAAAGATAGTTTATAGACACACATAATATATAGATACGCACAAGCAAAACAATGTGTATAGGAATATTTTACAGTTTTACTTGTTTGGAAGCTTTATTTTAAAAATGGTATCATAGATTATGTTATCTTTAACAGCTTGATGTTTTTATTCAACATATACAAGATTTACCCAGACTGCTTTGTGTAGTTTGTTATTATTACTTCTGTGTAACATTTAATTATGTGACTATGTCAAAAAATTATGCATCCCCTAATGATGGACACTTACTATTTTCAAATTCCATGATGAAAATAATACTTCTTATACACATTCTTGTATACATGTCTTTGTGCATATGAAATGAGTGGGCTAGTACCTAGGAGTGGAATTATTTGTTCATGTGGTATGCTTATAAATACCAGCCCATAAACACTATCCCCAAAATATACAACCTGTTTTTTTTATAATTTCACTAATTTGATGTCACATTAAAATTTCAATATAGAATTATTATTAATATCCTATTGCTTCTGTAACAAATCACCACAATCTTAGTGACTTAAAGCAGCAGCTGCCAACTTATTATCTTATGGTTCTGGAAGTAAGAAATCTAAAACTGCTCTTACAAGGCCAAAGTCAAGGTGTCCATAGAGCTGTAGTCCTTTGGAAGATTTTAGGGCAGAATCTGTCCATTGCCCTTTTCAGTTTCTGGTGGCCCACATTCCTGTTTTGTAGCCACATCACTTTGACCCTACTTCTATGGTCACATCTGGTCTCACTTTTCACTCTGCTTCTCCCACTTTGTGATTACTCTTGCTCAGATAATACAGAATAATCTCCTCATTTCAAGATCCTTAATTTAATCACTTGTACAGATTCTTTTTTTGCCTTGTCAACCAACATACTTACAGATCCTAGGAATTAGGAAGTAGACATTTGGCAAGGAAGGAGGGTGCTTATTTTTGTATTAATTTGCATTCCCTTTACTACTAATCAGGTAATCAGGTTGTATAGCTTTTCATTTATGTGTGGTTTCTTTTCTGTGAAATATCTATTTTTTTTTTAATGATCCTACTGCTTGGCACATGCTAGGCAAGTACTATACCTCTGAGCTACAATCCCAGCCCCTACTTTTTTTTAAATCTTGAGAAAGGTTCTCACTGAGTTGCCCAAGCTGGCCTAGAACTTGTGATTCTCCTTCCTTAACCTCCTGAGAGCTGGGATTATAGGCGAGCCCCACTGTGCCACACCATTTTAATTTTGATAAGGTTGATTTTGTGTATATTTTTGTAGTTTTTTTTAAACAAAATTCTCTACCCTGAGGTTGTGAAGTATTTTCCAACGTTTTTTTCAAAATATGTAAAAGGTTTTTATTTTTCAAATTAATGTTTTTAATTGCTCTAATGGCAAAAGCATAGTAAATATAAGCTACCTGAAGTAGAGCTCGTTGTGGCAGGAACAGAATGAGATTCAGGGAAAGTTGGAGCCAGCATTGATAAATATGTCTCTTGAATTAATGATTAAATTACTAACTTGAAGATATATTCAAATTGCTTTAGGATTAAGGAGGGTCAGATACTATCAAAGATAGGTTGCCAGACAATAAAATGAAAAAACAAAGCAATTACCTCTAGCATTTCAGGTAAAGGAAAGACCAACTGGGGAAAGCATCCAGGGTGTGAAATTGCATGGCATGTTGAGAGAGCAGCAGTGATGTGGTGTGAACATGGGATTGATGAGGGATGTGGATGAAGATGTAGTTTCAAGATGAGGTGCACATCAAATTTTGAGCAATCTTTTTCTGCCTTGTAAAGATCTGACTTTAT